ATCGCCGATTGTTGTTGGATCCCTGGCGTGTAGGAGTTGACGCAGTCCCCTGAGCAATATTAGCAGTTATTGGAGCAAAAGGAGTCCTTTTGGCTTCCTCATGATGAAGAAAAAGCTCATAATAAAGGAGCTTTTCATATAGTTCTTCGTATGAGATTGTTGAATCTCGAGCTCGGATGGCAGCGAAAAGGCCTCGGAATTCAGATCCAAGTCCAGTAAGAATCTTGACAACCAGTTCTTCATTGGAAACGGGGGATCCAGCAGTGGCAAGTTCAACACATAGTGAGCGAACTTGATGAAGATAATCTACAATAGGGCGAGAGTCCTTGGAAAGGCGGCGAGACGGTCTCGAAGACTAAAGATACGAGTTTGGGACTTGTTTGCATAAGCAATATGCAATGCATCCCAAGCCATTTTGGCATTGGCAGCAGAAGCAACTATACTAGCAATTGTTGAGTCTATAGATGCCAAGACAACATTTTGTATGAGCTGATCTTGCTAAAACCAAGCAAGAAAATCAGGATTGAGTACTGCTTGGTTATTTGCAGAGATAGTCTGAGAGGGGGTTGGTTTCGATCCATCAAGGTGACCAAAGAGATTGTGTCCATGCATAAGCATGGACATCTGAGCCTTCCATAGTGAAAAGTTATGGCTACAAGCTAGTTGGAGCAGTTGGGCTCCTGATACCATAAAGAGTGATAAAGGCAGAAGAAGAACTTATTTTGTATTGATCATAAGGTTGGCTTTATATAGCCAAGTATAGTACATAAAAGTTGTGAATAATGTAACAACTTAGAGAGAATCTAGGATACATAGAAACCTATGTGAATAACAATCCTAAACAAAAGGAATCTGATGAGCACCAAAAGAGATATTAAAAAACAGAATAGCAAAAAGTCCTATACAGAAGGATTATTAGACTTCACTTATGATCCTTGTATGATTTTCATTACTTCGAATCCAGCATTTTGAATCAACTGGATAATATGCACATGAGAATTAAAAATAAGAACTCAAACAACCTCTTCCAATTAGAGGATTGAAATCCAATCCAATCAACACAAGTCAAATAAATTAACAATATATGTAGAATAAATCAAATGATAGAGTCAGATCATAAGTTCCATCTAAATCCAACAATGAAAGGATTAATAGTACATCATAAGTTGGAGAGTGTCACGTCCAGTGGTTTCTTCAATTTCTCTTTTAATATTCATAGCTGAATCCTCAACAGAGTCCGGGCAGCCATACAGTTCAATAAGTTGGAGTGTTGGAATATCGGCAAAGCTAGGAGGGATCGCGTCGAGGGAGTAACAACCTTTTATGAGTAGCTTCTCAAGCACGGGAAAGGATTCCTCTGAAGCTTTCCATTCTCTTAGATCCATCCACTCTAATGTCAAGTATTTAAGTGCCTGGAACTCCATTTCTCTAACGTCCCAACACTCTTTACCCAATAATAATCCCCAGATTATTTTGAGTTTCTCAAGTTTCTGCAGTCTTGCTATGTTTGATGTTAATTCTTTCGTTATTGAAAAGTGGCGAATCCTCAAATTCTTAAGATTTGAAGGGAAGACAAAGTAGCTCTCCCATCCAACTGAATGCGGGTAGCGATAAGTCTTACATGGGCATTCAAGGTCAAGAGATTGAAGGCGTGTATGAACTTCCGATATGGGAAACAAAGAACGACAGGGTAAACTTTCAAGGCTGAGACCCAACTCTTCTAAATTCGGAAACCTCCACCACGACCTTGGATTTCTATCATCGTACACACGAAGATTGCAAAATGTCTTCAGGTTCTCCAGCAATGTTTCTGAAGATTCTTCTTCCTCGTTTTCCAATAACAAGAAAACTTTTCTCATATTCACATGCCTTAAATTGTTCATTTTCCAGAGACCAGACGAACGTGGGAATAATGTCTTTCTTGAAGCAACCTTTAGAGTGTGAAGATCGTGTAGGTGTGATACCCACTTGAATTCAAATTGATCTTTGACATAAAGCGCAAGGTACCTCAAGTGAGTTAGCAATTTTACTGTTGGAACCCATGATGAACTTGTTTCCACATCCATCAAATGCAACACCCGAACAAGTTTTAATTCAACAAGTAAACGTAAAGGATTTGATCGGTTTTTCCATGTTTCAAATTCTGGATGAGCAATGAACTCCAAAGACGGCTTAGAACACTGACCAAAACACTTTGTACTTTCCTCGGACTCGTGTATTGTAATCTTATCCACCTGATATTCACAATGATCTAATTGTTCCACCAGATCATCATGAATATAAGTGCATAACCGCGATTCCTTAGTATACAAATGTTTATATGGATTGTATGGCACTATAAGCTGCACAAACTTTTCTTCTCTAAGTTTTGCTGAGCAAAACTCACGCACTACATCATGAAGTATGCAGTATTTTATGTCACCATTACGTCTCCTTTTAGAGACCATTACTAGGCTTCTGTTAAGCAGATCATTCAAGCAAACTCTAGCTGCTTCTTCCATATAATTCTCTGTGTCAACATTCAGTACAAACTCTTCGGCTATCCACAAATTCAGCAAAGCAGACACTGGAATCTTATAGTCTTCTGGAAACAAGCCCATGTAAAGAAGGCAAGGCTTTAAGTGGTCTTCTAAATGCTCATAACTTGATTGTATTACC